GAAAATGTTTTCTTTTATTGTTTCATTGCTGAATATATTGTTGCATGTTGTACTCGTGTATAGGAGCTTCGTGGAAATATTTTAGTGAGTTTTAATCAAGAGATTTTATCAGAACAACCTATAGTTACACTTTGAAACGAACAAAATAACTTTCAAACACCGTATTTTTAAATATTGGATGTTATGCGAAGACATACATTCAAAATTTGGGATCAATTTTGAGATATCGTGCTTAGAAGCGAGAGAACTTTATCTGCCACTCGAGGTCGACCTAAATTCTTCCGAGTCGAATTCACCGAGGTATATTCCTCTAAAATAAGATTGGTGTAACTGATATGCAGTCACAAAGATGAATTCTTGCAGGAACAATTCTGTAATAAGCTTATGTGGCTTGGCCGTACATATAAGAGAATATTCCTTTGTAGAAAAATGCATGAATGACATAACTGCGTGTTTTGTACCCGAGGTCTGAGATTTGCATTTGATTAAGCAAATTCAGAAGGTATTTCAATTTGAAATAATTCTCGCATTCTCTCATCATCATTACTCATGTGTTATTTATTAAGTCTATGTGTTTATGTAAGAGCTAACCTAGATACGCCCGTTCCCTTTCCTTTCTTCTTTGTCTTGTTAATTAGAGGGGCCGCCAATTCTCTGAATCAGTGAATGGACAAATTCATAGAAAAATGTTTACAAGCGGAAAACATAATGCATATATAAAGAGAGAAACAGCGCATGCGTGTTAAAAATAGAAAACTAAAAGTAGCGGGTGAAAAGATTTATAGAGGCAAACACAAAAGTATTTTAAAAAACTTTTAAATACTTTTATTTCTTGACTTCTATTTGCCTATTAAAATGACAAAGGCAAGCCATTACAACAAAATATTCCTCTTAATGGGCACCAAGAGAACTTTACAATTAATTTTCCTTTCAGGATACGGATATGCAAATATTGCCAGACGAGAACATTACCTTTCTTTTAATCAAAACCACCTTGTAATTCCTTCGTAATCCATTAGAAAAATAACGATTAGCACTCAATTTTGGGTATGCATTCTTTATATATATATTAGAAATGCTCACGTGAGCCTGGCCAGGATATGCCTCTTTTATTTTTAATATTTATCTTCACGTATATATAAACTATTTACATTGTAAACATTTATGATTATTGTTACAAATACTATTATCTCTGTCTACTATCTTACTACTATCTTCTACTCGAGAATCTATATAAAACCAAAAGGTATTAATAAAGAATTTTGTTGTTTGTTATATATATAAAAACTATTTTTATCAGTTTTATTTTAAAATCAAATATAGTTTTTTTTCCAAGATATTTTGAAGTGTTTTAATAAGTTTCATATTTTTTTATTTAGAGGGTATATTTACCCCATTATATTGTAGAAAGTATTTATAAATTCAAAACAGATTAATAACTTTGATGATTTTGCTACTATGTAAACATCCCTTGTTGCCTTTCTGGTATTTTATAAGAGTTGATTTGAGCTTCCCTCAAATAAATTGCTGTGTCATCCCGAAGTTTGTCTTTCCTAATTTTATACCTGACAATATATATAGAACGATAAATAGATGATGTATGTTCAAATTATTTTTTATCCGTAAGCCTTGGCAAACTTGGTTATTCAAGCAATCGATACAGTCAAGCCATCCAAGAAACACCGCACAAATATTGAAATTTTAGATTTCTTCCGTAGCTCAGCGTTCGTTTGAGGTGTGACTAGAAAAGAAAAAATATATTGGGCTTTACAAAGGTGGAGAATTTGACAATTAAAATAATTTTATTGACATCTTGTCAATACATGCAAAAATTCACAGTCTGCACTATTAAAAAAAAATAAAAGCATATTTTGGATCAATAAATTTATTAAAATTCAATATTTCGACGAGGCTGTTCGCCTATCTTCTTCTCGGAAAAATTCAAAAACCTTGTAAGCTTATTATCCGCGTGATGCGCGCACGAGAAGTGTTGTTTTCTATAGCATATGTTGGTGTGACCTGACTATTTAATTTAAATTATTGTATCTTCAGGAATAAAATGCTAAATATATTTTTGATTATTTTTGTTTTAACTGTAGGTATGATTGTAGTATTTCTATTTTCCTATTGATGCTATTTTTATCATCTGTAGATGCCCAGCTCTCCAAAAATAATATTGTGTGTTTATCCTGTACATTGTTGTAAAAATTATTGAATTATCAAAATCTGGTATATGTCCTTTTTTAATTGCATGGTCTACAAGTAACGATATATATGATACTATGTAAAATGAATATGGCACATCTGCCACCGCTGCAGAGTTTGGTGGAGAATCGGCAGAGGGTCTCGAGCGACACCATAGATTTCGCGATCTACGAAGAATAGAATAAAATAATTTACAAAGTGGATTCTCATTGAGGTATTTCCTTTTTACACTTTCTACAGTATATGACGTTCAAATAATGTTCCATTGATTTTCTTCTCGACTATGTGCGAAAAGTAATACAATGATATTTTTTATAAATGCTTTAAAACAATATACTCTGTTAGCTTTCTGTTCCCCGAGAGAGTTCAGTCAGATAAAGGGATATATCATAATATCAACTGGTTAAGCAAATTCAGAAAATCCAACTTGCATATCATTGTGTCATCGGACTATAGCCTTCATCAGCGGCTGCGATTCCGTAACATTCTATTGGATAATTTTTGAAGAGAGTTTTGATATTTTTCACCCACACCTAAACATTATCCTCTGGAAAATTTGTAAGATCTTTGTTTATAATATTTTTCCAAACATTTTAAAGCACACATATATATATGCTCTTAATAATTGCCTATAATTCAAAATACGAAATAATTTTTTATTACAAACATATTTTTAACATAGTGTTATTTGAATGTTCGTACTATATTTTTCCAAACGGAATTCCTACACAGTTCCATCCAAATTTTATAGTCACCCAATTTGTCACATCACACCGAAAATTCCAAAAACGTTCACATAAAAGAGGCCTATCAGAAAGACCAAATTGTTCCTGCGGAGAAATTGAACAAACTGCTCTTCACCTTATCTACGACTTTCCGAACTTTGCAGAAGTGAGACATCGATTGTTCCCTGATCTAAATGATTTAACTCTCTTACATCAGCCACTTTGTCTATATAAATTTTATTAACTCTGACGATTAATACATGTAAATTTGTAAATATTTAATTCTAAGTTCTTATTAGTTTGTTGTTTTATTTGTTTTCTCTGTAATAGGCGCAAATATCGCGCCTGGTTGATTAATAAATAAATAAAAGAAAGAAGAACGGTTAAAAACAACAAGAAAACTGTAATTTATATACAAATCAGAATAAAATCTCCGTGGTTGACATAATTATGAAGGCGTATGTCACGTTGCAGCAGAAGACAATTTCCCCGTAGACAGGTCGGCTGTACCATTATTAACTTAGAGGGGTGACTCGCCTCCACTTCCTATAACAATCTGGGTCAAATTTTCTACTTTACACTTTTTTAAATTTTTATTTTCAATCTATAACACATCTCATAAATATCTCAAATACAGAGTGAGGCATTGGTAGTGCTAACATGAACCTAAGTCGTTGATGCTATTTAAAACATAAAATGTGAAACTTTAACGACCCGTTTATTAAATAGAGATTCATAAAATATAAGTAATAAGTAAAAAACATATTGTTAAGGTTTTAAATTTTGTGTTTTAAAATTAAATTGGTTGTCATACATTTATCGTGTAGAAATAATAATTTCGGAATTTTCCTAGAGAGAATATTTTCAAATGTTATCTTCAAAATATTGTCCTATGCTTATATTATACTAGCCGAATGACCCGGGCAACGCCCGGGTTTTACCCGATTAAATGCTTTTTTTCAAATACTATTCGTTACAATTATAAGTTTTGTACAAAAAGGCAATTTTGATACCTCAAACATGATTTATTAATGATAAAATGTATACAATACATCAAAATGAAAATTAATAATGAAATTATCCCTACATATAAGTCATTTGAATATAACATATGTTTAAAACATAGATATACATAGTTAATGGTAGAATAAACATCTATATACGTTTATATATCGTATAATATAATATAAATGAGTTTTAAAAATTGTAAAAAAAAAAAAAATGCATCGGCCGGGAATCGAACCCGGGCTGCCCGCGTGGCAGGCGAGCATTCTACCACTGAACTCCGATGGTTATAAGAAATGGCCATATTTGGGTATTTATCCCATTCACAAAGCAAACGGTGACAGAATTGATTAAGAATGTTGCTTGATTATGACGCTGATAACTGTATATATTAATATATTACCAATACTAGCCGAATGACCCGGGCAACGCCCGGGTTTTACCCGATTAAATGCTTTTATTCAAATACTATTCGTTACAATTATAAATTGGCGCCGTGGATGTCATTCTTGTGAAACGTCCTGCTCCAAACTTTGTGTCTGAGAAGCGATATTTTTATAAAGAGATGATCTGGCTTTGTGTCTTCTGCTCGAATGAATGTTTATCTGTTAGAATTTTGTTCCTGCATACTAAAAATGAACTGGCTTCACCCGTGGTCTCTGCTTTTTGGAATTTTTCCGGATATAATTTTGTATCTGATAATCAAATATGATACAGCAATATTGTCATCATCATTTTCTGAATAAAAAACAACTACTTTTTCCCCAGAACCTGTCAATTTATTTTTCTTGACTAAAAATCCGAAAAATATATTTTCCAGATTTTTCTCTATGTCCTGTTAAAACACGTTTTACATGTCCATTAGGTCAGCTGATATTACCTCCCATTTTCACCGCTAGAGGCGCTGCTTGCGAGCGAAAGGGCAAATTTGCAACGCAATTTGCAAATAACTTGTATACATACTTGTATACTTGTGTACATAGATCATAAATTTGTACATAGACAGGAAAATCACATATATTTTAATAATATAAATGAGTTTTAAAAATTGTAAAAAAAGAAAAAATTGCATTGGCCGGGAATCGAACCCGGGGCGCCCGCGTGGCGTTTCCACCACTGAACCAAAAGCAAACGGTGACAGAATTGTTAATGACTCTGATACTTGTATATTTTAATAATTTGTTTCAAATATTATTAATATTTTACCTCTGTATAAGCCCTCCTGGTATATAAAAAATTTCAACTGATAGATAAATATGTAACCTAGCGAATTTTAGTGCCTGTATCATCTGTATTATTATTATCTCTCTATTTCGTTTATTTTTTATTTTTTCATTGTTCTTTCGACTTCAGGGTAAATTCAGGAATCAAACAGAGGATTGGAAGTTTTGATAAAAACAAAAGGGTAAAAGATGACACCGCAACTACTTAAATTATTATTAAATGAGCTTTAGGGTAGATAAGCCTTCACAAAGTGCTTGTAATTTATTTAAAAAAATATATTCTATGCTTTGTGAAATATACAGGGACATATTTCCTTCGATGTGGTATTGGTGTCACCTTTTGCAAAATCTAGGCGAAGAGTGATGGTTTCAAGTAAAAATTGTAATGGAAGATAGAGAGTTTTAATTTGCTCTAATTCTAAAGAGCCTCATGAAAAGTATTGGTATTTAAAAAGTGTCGGATCCTTGTGTCTGTATTGTGTTAGGGTATTTGATGGACAGACCCTGAGATCATTAAATGTCTATTTTAAAATTTCCCTATACAAAATTTTCGAGAGATTTTGAACGTTTTCAAATATGACATCGTCTTAAAGAAAAAAAAAAACTTGAGGAGATTATTTGACAATTCATCGAAAACCTACGTACCTCTTATTTGTTTATCAAATTATTTTCTATTTATATATTTATATTTTATTATTTTAATATATAATAATCTTAGTACCTAAACTGGCTCTTTTCAACTCTTTGAAAATAATGAAATATTTTTATATTAAAAAACGAATGAAAAAAATAAAAGATAAAAAGATCAGGTGTTGAAATCAATATTAAAAATGGCATATCCTGACCAGGAGCAGATGTGCTTTACAGAAGGCAGAGCGCCATCTGGTGGAACAGAAATCAACTAAACATTGATTTAGCCTGTTCCCTGATATTTGGCCAACCCAATTTCTTGATAAATCAAGAAAAGCCATCCACGAACGCGTTTCGCGCTTTTGGCGCTCGTCTCCAAGCTACTTGCTACTTCACGCTGACGAGCGCCAAAAGCGCGAAACGCGTTCGTGGATGGCTTTTCTTGATTTATCAAGAAATTGGGTTGACCAAATATCAGGGAACAGGCTAAATCAATGTTTAGTTGATTTCTGTTCCACCAGATGGCGCTCTGCCTTCTGTAAAGCACATCTGCTCCTGGTCAGGATATGCCATTTTTAATAAATATTTTTATATCAACTTCGAAAAGAGTAAAACAATGTGTGATAAGGTACACTTTGTATTATAAATAAGATGTCCGATGTGACACTCTTGCTTAAGATAAAATGTTAATTTGGATTTAATGATGTTACTCTTTCTTCTTATTTTTAAATTTTGATCAAGGATATCTAAACACAATTTTGGATAGTGAATATATCATCAAGATAAAAATTGCATAGAAATAAAATTAGCATACATTTGAATATACAAAATAAATTTACTAGATTTGACCCGGGTTCTTCTCGAGTAAATGCCCGACCAAAATTATTTTAACAAAGGTTTAATATTAATATTGTCATTAGGAGGGGATAGCAGTAATAATATCTAGTTATGATCAGCATTAGCGATATTTCATCATTATCAATTTCCAAATCTAATTAGGCTAATTATTCAGTTAGCGGGTGTTAAAAAAATGATTAGTAATATAAGAATGACTTTAAAAAATACGTATATACCGCAATTACATCCAGATACCTGACCTAATGTCAAAACAAGAACACAATAGGGTTTTTAAACTAGATACTTAAGAAAGTAACACTCTATTTATTTAATCTCCCTATATAATTTCCCTATCCGCTATAGGAGAAACACAAATCAGGGAGAATAACTTCTTTTATAAGATAACGATCTTACAAGCTTTCGGACAAGACGCCCATCTACGGATACAAAAATGATACGAGTTGGCAATGGTTTATATATATATAATTTTCATGAATTTATTTTACATAATTCTAATTTTTTTCTAAGCTATATTGCTAAAACCTATCATACAAAATTCGAAAAGTTTGACAAATAATGTAGTAAAAATATATAGATATATATAAAATAAAAGGATTTAAAAGCGCGAATGTTTCTTTTATACATAAAACGAACTTCTACTGTCCTTACTGCGATGAAAAAATATATTGGGAGGGCTTGGCTCATCAGTGGTGAACCCTTCCAGCGGTTTCGCCAATTTAATCAACCAGACCGCTTCTCAGAGCTCTAATACTGTATTGGATCATTCTGCTTTTATATGCTACACTGAAGGATGGAATCTTAGAAATGGTTTTTAAGTAAACTATGGACATAAGCTTATAGGACAGTAGAATTACATTCAAGGACTACATCGCAGTAAGGACAGTAGAAGTTCGTTTTATGTATAAAAGAAACATTCGCGCTTTTAAATCCTTTTATTTTATATGTATAGATGGCGCGTTATTGCTTTGTGTTAATATAGATATATGCAAATCCAATCATATACAATGGAAGAAGGCAAAAAGTGCAATAGAGACAAAAAATATAGCTCACAAAAAAATTTAGCAATATGTCAAAAAATAAAATTTCATGAAAGTGTATTTATATAAACCATTACCTATTGTGTCATTTTGTAGCCGTAGAAAGGCATCTTGCCCGAAATGTTCGTAAGATCGTCTTCTCATGTAAAGAAGCCCTTCTTCCCGACTTGTGTTTCTACTAATATCATTCTATTTAAATAGGAAAAGAGTCTGAGAGACAGAGATAGGTATAATTCAAGCTGCGCTAGAAGAGAGTAAATTTGTATTCCCTCCTCTATCTTCACAAAGAGATAGTAAACTTGTCTTTTGTTACAAGACAACTTGAGTAAGATTGATTGAATGTGTTGTATCAAAATAAAACAGAATTATCTAAAGCTATTTCGCTGTAAATTACAAGAATGAAATGGATAGATATTTATACCAAGGTGTATTTATTTTTTCTGAATTTTCCACAGATAAAGCTGAAATTACTCTTTGATGGATCACTCGGGTCATCCTATTTCCCAACGTGGCGAGGAAGGGATTGAATCTTCCCCATTGGATACATCCAATTACAAAGCAAGAGTTAGGAAAGAGCGATTGGTCAAAGACACAACTACTCCAGCAGCGACAAGATTATGTCGCAAGGTGGGGACCCACTTTCTAAGTACCGTGTGGGAATACAAGAAGGAAACGAATGCACCATACTGAAATAGAAACTTCTCGTTTTTTCTATTCTTCGGGAAAACGGCAAGTCGGGGATAACAGCACCTACTGAACCTCTTGATTTTCTTATCTCCCATATTCCTCTCCTCAGAAACAATTCCAGATTTTTTCCTCCATTTTTCTATCTCCACTTTTAAACTATTGCTAATATTGATCATATTTTAAACATAATTCTACTTCAAATAAATAAATAAAACCTTTTATAATTTGAAAAAAAAAAAAATGTAATGAATATTAATATATATTGACCAATTGTGATTTTTTTTTCCACGAGATTTCAACGACTTTTCCAGTACCAATCAAGAGTACCCTATAAACTTCACCCAACAAATATAATGGCTATTGGCAAGGCGACAGACCGTTGACGAAGCGCAGGGAACGATCAAATAATTATATTAGGTTGATATTGCTTTTTTATGTTACCCTTTTTATGCAAAATAAATCCAAATACATTATAGCTATGAACGATTAAAAGAACACTCTTCAAACTTATACAATTCATAGAATAGTAGCCTTCAAAATTGAAATCGTCATGAAACCTTTTCTACTATAGATATGAGGTGTCAGCATTGACAGATTATATTGAGTGAATTCTTGGTATTTTATGTTTTTTGGGGGCAAAAGTAGTGAAAGGCAGGCCCAATACATTGGTTTTTCACAAATTCTGGATCACAGCCAATACAATAGGCGTAATACAGAAGATGGATCCAACTTGACGAAAGGTCGAACTCCCACTATCTTACGATAACTATTATGTTACTTGTGTGTTTACACTTATGAAGAATCCTGTATGGGCCGGTGTCCATAATAAAGTCTTATTGTTGTTGGATTCTTGGTAATATTTTGTGTACCCCAGGTATATTTACAAAAAGAACATTAATTTACTAATAATGCTCGACTTTCTTAACATGTTTTCGCGGCACAGTTATTTATTACATATTGTAATAATAGTTTACAAATAAAGCGCATAACCTATCTCACCTAGTTGCATAGCCATAGTGTCCTTTAGAGAGAGGTTTCAGCTTATTGGAGAGTTGCCAATTGATAAAAAGGGTAATTCCGGCGATGAAATATGGCCTTTTAAAAGAAATATATATATACGAGGTGTGTTCACAAAAGGTATCGCGAATTTTGAATTTTCGCGGGTTACGTATATTCGAATTTCGATCTTTTTGTGGCTTTATGTTGGTACTCATGTCTCTCACTTATGCCGACAAGCTCGGCCATTTTGAAAGTTCACCTAATTGTTGACAGCTGCTTTGCTTGCAGGTGTTTTGGATCGTCTTCGATTTTTACCTATTAAAAAAAATAGATCAAAGAACCTGTATCAAATTTTGTGTGAAAAACGAAATTAAGTGCGCGGATGCATTCCGAATGTTGACTGTGGCATACGGAGAAGCTACCTTGGACCGAAGCAACGTTTATCGGTGGTACAAAATGTTCTCAGAAGGCCGAGAAGATGTGAACGACGAAGAGCGTGCCGGACGCCCGAGCACTTCAACAACAGACGAAAAAATTAATGAAGTGGAGAAAATGATATTGGCCAATCGTCGAAACACCGTTAGAGAAGTTGCTGAGGACCTAAACATATCGATTGGCTCGTGCCATTCGATTTTTATCAATGATTTGGGCATGAGACGGGTCGCCGCGAAATTTGTACCAAAATTGCTCAATTGCG